AGCTGGAAGCCCAGATTTCCAAGCGGAGGGGCCAGAGCAAGCCTCCAACATGTATGTGGATGCACTCCTAGGTCTGCGTTTCTTGGAGGTGTTTAGCTTCACAAGCTCACCAGTCCACCCCAAAGCTGTCTGATATGCCCAAAAGTGGATTTACTTCCAACAGGGGATATTTGCCACATTAAGGTATTTTTTGAGGGAGGAAAAAGGGGGAGAACAAGCTACAAGTGGGTCAAAAGGTTCCCAAGCCACGGGGTCTATCTCCAGCCCAGCCCCAAGCCCCTGCCACTCACCCCTGCTCCTCCATCATCTCCTGCAGCTCCATGCACTTCAGCTCCACCCGCCGCTTGCGCTCGTGGTCCAGGATTTCCCGGTGAGCCTTCTTCACCAGGCTGGGCTCCACCAGCCGCACCTCCTCCTCGCCCTTGTGCCACGTACCCGAGGCGCTGGGCTGCGAGAAGCCATTGGAGGCTTCCTGGGGCGAAGGCACGTCGGCCCCGTTGTTGTAGAGAGCCATGCTGGCGTGGGCGGCCTCGCCACCAGCAGCACCTGGGAGGGAGAGAGAGTTTGGGGTCAGTTCCTGCCCTGACTTCCCTCTCACCCTGCGACAGTGAGGGCACCCCACCAGGACCTGAAGGCAAAACTTGTCTCAAAAGAGGTGCAGGCACACAGGTCGATGGTGATGGCGACGAGAGATGTGGGTCTTCTGCCAGAGCCCTTCCTGCCCCTTACCTCGGTTTCTGCATCTGCAAAGCAAGGCTGGGGCTGTTCCCATCGCCATGCTGCGAGGGCTGGCTCATGGGAAAGAGAGGACGATGCTTTGCGCCAGCCTCGTACCAGGGAAAGCCTGGCAGAGTGCGGGTCTGTGGTTCCCAGGGCCATACGGTAGCAGTGGGACAGGCGGGCAGGGGTCCCTCCGAGCCCCACGGACCCTGCTGTCAGCTGGCGTGGGTGCAGAGCAAGGACGGGCATCCATCCTCACAGCCCTCTGGGGACACCCCCGAGCACTGTCCCCAGCCAGGAAGGGTATGGACCCAAAGACCTTGGATACCCCATTGCACAGGGACATGGCCATGGGAGATCCCGATGTTCAGGCCAGCCAGCAAATGCCCACTGATGCCTTCCGGCCATGGCCCAGCACCGGCTGTGAGGGCAGGTGAGGCTCCCCACTGGCTGCTTCCCTGTCCAAGCAGCAGCGTCGTGCTGTTGCCTGTCTGCCCTCTCCCTGCTCTTTCACCCTAACGTGTCCCTGCCTCCTTCCTCAGCCACCACAGTCAATGTGTCCTCACCTGGCTCCAAAAATAGCCCCATGGAAGATGACAACTGTTCCCAAGCGGCACTGCTGCACTGAGGCTCCAGCTGATGCTCACTGAGCCTGGGGGGGGGGAGATGCTCCCAAAGCTCCTGGATCAACCACACAGACACAACCCCATCTCAGCGACCTCAGGCCATCAGTGCACAGCTGAGTGCCCATTCCTCCATCTCCCCGTCCTGTGATGCCCCAGCTCCCCTGCCCAAAGCAGCGGCCCTCTCTCCAGCATGGAATGCTCCCACTGGAGATCTTCTGTGTTAATTACCAGCAGCAGCCAGGCTGCAGAGGCACTGCCTGGGCTTTACCAGGGGCTCCCACAAGCGCTTCTCCCGCAAAGTCCTACACAAAGAGAAACAATCAGGGGTGAAGTCAGAGCACCCTCCCTCACTCTCCAACCTGGCTTTGGGCTTGGAGATGCAGCTTTTGTCAGCAGCCGCTAGTCTGGGCTGTTTCCATTCCAGGGACCCTGCCAGAGGGTTTTTCCAAGGATGGGCATTGCCTGCACATCACTGCCCGGGTGGGAAGCAGCCAACCCTTGCCTGAGATGCCCGGGGCGTCTAACACGTACTGCCCAAGGAGGAGAGGGCTGAACACTGGCCCAGGGAAGGAGGGATCCCTCAGCCAAGCATGGGCATGAAGGCAGGACAGACGGACCATGGACCGATTCACACTGTTTCGAGCCCAGGGAGGGCTCGCCGCTCCAGCTGTGCTGTTCCAGCAGGATGCCAGGTGGTTCAGACTTTTCCATGGCCTTGCCAGGTGGGACAGACCCAGGGTGGGAGCACAGATCACCCGCAAGAGGCTTCGAAGATGTTTCTCTGCTGCTTGAGGACAGAAAAAACCTCAGAGCCCACCCCGGGGTGGTGGGCGTCCCAGCTGGCTGGAAGGCATCTCCCACCCTGCGGCATTGCCAAGGGACATCCCCGGCTTTCCTGCTGCCACCGGCTGCCCCATGCAGTCATTTATCTCCTGATGAGCCTGCCCAGGCAGGACAGCAGCTCACTGCTTAATTACAAGGGTTTTTTTTTCCTTTATTTTCCCCATTATTACCAGGCAGAGAGAAGCCAGCAGCCTTTATTTCCACAGAGACATGGAGGAGCGGGCAGCAGGAGATGCTGCCAGTGGAGCTGCAGCAGGAGCAGCCAGGGTTCTGCAACCCTTGGATGCTCAGCCCTGTTAGAGCAACCGGAGGGTCCCTCGGTCCCCCCTGTCCTGCAACAGGCAGGCCAGCACCCACATTTCAAGCCCCATGACACCCCACAGCAAGGAGCTGCTCAGCTCAGCCCTCCCTGCCCAGGGGGGACCCCTGACCCCAGCCCCCTCCATGTCCCAGGGTGGCCCCGGGCCAGAGACAGGAATGATGCTGCAGAAAAACCTGGCTTGGGGGCTCCTCTTCCTCTTTCTCCCGTCAGGGCATGAAGCTAAAAACCAGGAAGGAAATTTGGGAATGGGTAAAGCTCCCCCCTGGGAAACCTTCAGCCACCAAGGGTCTCAGGGAAGGAGAGGAGGGAGGAGAGGATGCTTTCTACAGCAGCCTCTGCTTGCTTTTCACCAGTGGGAATTAATTTTATCCTGAGCCCGGCAGTGGGTAAATTCATTGCTGTGAAACCTTGAGAGCGTGTGGGATATACAGCCGGGCAGGTAGATGGAGGAGCACGTGAGATAAACCAGCAGCTGGATGGGTACCTGTGGGTGAGGGCTGCATGGTAGGCGAGGCATCCAGATCCTGCCGGGAAACGTTCCCCATCTCCATAAAAAGAATGTGGTTGGAGATATCCCCCTCACACCCGAGGCCAGGCATGTGGAGCCGGCCTGGGGTTGGACACTGCACTGCGTCCCGGGGTCCCCACAGCAGTGAGCAACTTCTACCATGAGAGCTGATACAGCCACCCCACCTCAGCCACGGCACGGGCAGGAAAACAAAGGAAGAACAAAACCACCCGCAAACCCCCTCTGGCTATCAATAGCAAAGCCAGGCCATGGGCAAAAGCACTGGGTGAAAAACGGAGCCAGTCCTACTGTCACCTCTGGTGACAACAGGGACAAGGCACCGGGGCAGAAGGAGCCCATGTCCCCCAGGCTGGGTCTGTGCCCTCCCTGTCCCCAGAGGAGGATCCCCAGTGACTCCCTGCACCTGCAAGGGACAGCTCAGGGACATGGGGTGGCCATCACCACCACAACCTCCATCCTTCGGCCACCACACGGGGACTGCCTGGCTCTGCCAGCTCGTGCCAGCACCAAACCCATCAGCAGAGGCAGCATGGCCCTGCCTGAAAGGCAGCAGCTTCCTGCCTGGCTCAGCGCTACCCCCGATAATAAAGATGATGGTTAAATATTTCATTATCTGCAGTAATTACCCACAAATCATCAAGCACTGGCAGCCCGCCGCCCGGCCGCCTTGCCGAGAGGGATAGGAGGCGTCTCGGGGCAAGCGCTGTGCCGTGTCCCCACAGACTCCCAAAGGCTGCAGGATGAGGCCAGGGCGAGCCGCTGGCATCCAGCCCCACCACCCTAATCCCTGGCACCAGGGCAGTGCCACCCAGGAGGGCTCAAACTCCCCGGCACCGGGGCATGAGGACTCCCTCTCTTGCTGGGGAAACTCCTGAGCAAATCCGTCTTCCCGTTTTGCCAAGCCATTCACCCAAGCATTTTGGGATCCCAATCTCCCCCGCTGGTGCTGCACATACCACCTTGGGGCTTGGGGAGGTCAAAACAGCTTTTCAGCTTGCAGGCACTTTCTGCTGCCTGGATTAGAGCTTTTGGAAATGTTCAGAGCTGCCCCATCCCCATCCTCCATCCTTATCCTCCATCCCCATCTTCATTTTCATCGCCATCCTCCATCTCCATCCTTCATATGCATCCCCATTCTCCATCTCCATCCTCCATCCTCATCCCTATTCTCCATCCTCATCCCCATCCTCCACCTTCATCCTCCTCCTCATTCACATCCTCCATCCTCCATCTCCATCCTCATCCCCAACCTCCTTATCATCCCCATTCCCATCCTGCTCATCATCCCCATTGCCAATCTCCATCCTCCATCTCCACCCCCCCCATCCCCACCCCCATCCTCCTCATCGTCCCCATTCCCATCCTGCTCATCGTCCCCATTCCCAATCTCCACCCTCCATCTCCACTCCGCCCCTTCCATCCCCATCCCCATCCCACGCTTTGCCCCAAGCACAGGGACCAGCCGGGCACGCTGGGTCTCTCCCTCCCTTCCCAGCTGTGCTGAATTGCACCCAGGGTGCAGAGGACCCAGGCACCGGTGTTGCCAGGCTGATGGAGGCCAGGACAGACAGAAGGACAGACACACCACGCTGCGCCCCCGACACACAACCGGGACAGGCCCCACCAGCTCAGGGTGCAAGAACCAGCCTTGCCAGCCTGCTGGGCTTTGGCGCTGCCAGTTACCAGCCAAGCTTTGAACCGAGCTCCCTCCCTGCAGGCTGGGACCCCCGGGCACCTGGGGGGGTGGCCCTCGGATGCGGCTGTCCCCGTGTCCCAGCCCTGGGGCTGTCCAGCCTGGGCTTTGAAGGGAAGCTCAGGGGTTCAGGAGCTGCAGCCCAAAGGGAAATGAGCAAAAAAAAAAGTGTTATTTCACCAAACTGCTTTTGCCCTTTTATTTTCCAGCCCAGAAACAACCCCCCTCCCAGCTGACTCTGCTCAAATCCCCCCATGGGCACCTCTCGGGTCCCCGGCCATGCCCACAGCACCCC